TTTGCTAAGCCAACTACAATCAAGCGCAGCTATTCCGCTGCAATTCACTTGATCATGTGGTTGTTGGTTTTGTTGGTTTTTGTTAATATTTCTATTATTAGAATGTCTAACTTTTTTTTAATTAGGTGTGCTCGTCTTTAAGTTATTGGTTTTTGTTATTTTTATGGCCTTATAACAATTATATTCAACTATTTGTATGNTTATTTTATGGCCTTATAACAATTATATTCAACAATTTGTATGAGCTTGGGGCCGTTTTTAGTGAAAACTTATTGTGGAAAAGCAACAATAACTTGAAAAAATTGTAGAAGTGATAGCTATTTCGGAAATCACCACATTTCCTCATCAGACTTCTTTCAGATAATAAATCTCTTTCCAAACGAAAAGGGTGCCCGGGTAATCTATTTATTATTAAACTAGCTATACCCTGCCACGCTTTGCTGTGGCATATTTCTGTTATATGGACGATAAATTATTAACGAAACAAAGCATACATTTCATATTTGCACACAATATTTGTTATTGTTCCATTCTCTGCATAGATATCAAGGATATCTGGTTTGCCGACACAGGAACACGCAACATCTGAGAAGCAATCCGCATCTAAACCTAAACCATACTTTTCCAAAGTTCGACCTGGAGCATTATTGATTGTGATTCCGAATGTCAATCGAATTGGGAATTCAAATCTTCTTTGAATCATCATCATTAAATGGAATCATGGGAATTCTTCACCTTTGAAAGGCCACGTTAAAATATTTTCTTACATTACGTTCTTCACCAATTTCTTAACTGCGAGTCGCATTCCGTTCCAGAGTTTTCGCTGATTAATATTCCGCAACATGATAACTGTCAAACCTATTTTTAATTTCAGTATGTGAGGTCTCCCTGGAAGATTAATCGGGTTCAAAAATTTCGTTGGATGGTCTTTTTCCACAACGGTGTTTATCGACGTATATGCTATTTCCTCACGTTGAATGCTGGATTGAATAACATTAGTGGTATTCACCACAGTGAGCAAGTGGTCTGGCAGTCTAGTAAAAGAGCTGATCAGGTCAAGCAACGACTGTT